ATGCAATTTAGCCGTCTGGTGCACAGAGCATGTGGCGGGGCGGAAAGAGCATCCCCCCTCCCGCCCGGGGAGGGCTGCCAAAATCCTCCCACCCCTTCACCACAGCCCCGTTCCCACCGAGCATCCCCGACAGCCCGAGCTCCCGCCTGGGTCTCCCCTCATCAGGCAAAGCTCTTGTGCCGTCGCTTGAGGTTCAGCTCATGCGTTTGTGCTGGTTCCACGCTGGTTTTGCTCAGCTCTTGCCCCAGTTTCTGTGCTGGGGAGGTGGCTGAGCAGCAGGCTACCTTTTTGCTTTCGGTTGTCCCTGCAAAGCCGCGGCGCAAATGGCGGTGACGGTGCCAGCCCGTTTCTGGCACGGCAGCGGCACTGGGCTGGTGGGAAAGCTGGTGGCCCTATAGGTTCACCGAGATGTACATCACCCAAGACACCATTGCGTGGTTTGGATCCCACAGAGACTTTTCTAACGCAGGAAATGGTATTCTCGGTGATTTTTGTGGCATTTTGTACAGAGGACCATGGTGTGCCACTGCTCCGGTGGCAGGGACTCACTTAGGGACTGAAGTTTAATGCCATGAAAGGAGGCACAGGAGCGGGGAGGACTGCTGAGAGCTTCTGTGCGGCTGATCTTTAAAAAAAACTAAATGTATCCAACCCTGCCACCACCCTCATGCAAGGAAACCCTCCCGTGCTCTTCCTAAATCTAGCCCTAAAGGCACTAAGGTGGAAAAGACAGCCCCAAAACCAAAGCCTGAGAAGACCGAGATCCTGCTGGGACAAAGGATGGGACCCTGCAGCTCGCAGGAACTTGGTGTCCCCAGGAGCCGGCCACATGCCCCGGCCACGCTCAGCCCCTCTGCAGAAACCTGATGGAGGAACTTTTGAAGGGGTTTGGGGTTTTCCAGCCTTTCCACGCTGTGAGCGACTGGGCGTGCGTCCTTCAACGCGAACAACGGAACAATAGCAGGTGACGCTTTGAACTGAGCTCGTGAATATCCCCCACCAAAAAACAACCCCCGCAACAGCCCGGGCAACGCTCAGGCAGCAGCGAAGCTCTTTAAACAGGGCAGCCACAAAAGCAGCTTTTTTTAATCCCAACGTGAGGACACCCCACTGTACCCCAGGGAGGCACCAGGGGTAAACCCAAAGCCTCCATGGCTTTTCGTTTGGATTTGACCGAAGCCAAGCCAAGCTGTTAGAGCATCCTCCTCTCCTTCAACCCCCACCGCCTCTTTACTACTAATTGCAATCAACCAAACTACACCCTGGCAGGGGCCGCTGCCCCACACCACAGCAACATGTGTATTTCAGATTAGATCTAAGGCAGAAAGGTGGTGAGCCCCTGGCCCAGGTTGCCCAGAGAGGTGGGAGATGCCCCATCCCTGGAAACATTCCAGGTCAGGTTGGACGAGGCTCTGAGCAACCTGATCTAGTGGAAGATGTCCCTGCCCATGGCAGGGGGGATGGACAAGATGGCCTTTGAAGGTCCCTTCCCACCCAAACCATTCAATAATTCTATGATTTCTTTCTCTTGCCCAAGACCCAATGAGGTGCGGGGTTCCCTGCTGCTGGACCCCATGCTGAACATACCGAACTAGAAAAAACTATTTGTTAGTGGGTAGATGCCAACAGCATCAGACTTCAGACAAATTAACACCACCCTGGAAACTATATAAATCCTCAGATCGGAGGAAAAATGCCAAAATAATTGAGGATTGCTGTTAGAAGGAAATTCTCTTTCCAGACAGCTTATTTCCTAGCAGTGTCACCCCTCTGAGGGCAGGCACGGGGACGGGAGCTTTCAGAGCCGGGCTCGGAGACCCGCTGGACCCAGCGATCCCCCCTTGACCCCGTTCAGGGAATCCGGGTATTCCCAGCACGGCGGGGTGACGGCAGCCCTTGGACAGGGGACTGATGGGGCTGAGCGAGCGCAAAAGGAGCCGTCGTGCAGGAGGGACACATGCCGGTGCTTGCCGCATCACCCCGATTTACCCATCGGTCCCCGGTGGCTGGCAGAGCTCAGCTCCTGACTCCAGCCATCAAAACCATAGAATCATAGAATGGGTTAGGTTGGAAAGGACTTTGAAGATCATTGAGCTCCACCCCCCCTGCCATGGGCAGGGACACCTCCCACCAGCCCAGGTTGCCCAAGGCCACATCCAGCCTGGCCTTGAACACCTC